TTCAGTCAATTAATACTCAGTAACATTATAAAACTTCGTATAGAATTATCCTTACGCAAAGTCATAAGAGGYTGAGAAAACTTTAATTACAAGGAATAAGAGAAAAATTAACAAAAATTGTAAGAATAATCACCSTAAGTATAGACCAAGAGTGATACAGATGAAACTGTACAAACAGGATTATCTCTATTTCTCCTTACCCCACATGGCACACTCCAGTAGGACACGGTACAGAATTCACTTCATTTCCACTGCTGCTTCTTTATCCTCAGAAGAACATCTCACTTCAGCTCAATCACAGCATTTGTGCAGGATTTGAGACTTTTGTTTTGTTACACTGCTATTTTTTGGGGTACAGACCATATAACCTGTTATGGGATGTGGCCCTGTGCATGTTCCTTGTGGTTTCCAGAGCAGCTGAGTCCCAGTCCCTGTGACCACAAACCAGCAGTGGTATGAGAAAARCCTGCAGGGAAGTGTGGACAAACCAAACAAATGCTGGTTGTCTGATTGTTTAGCCCAGCTAAACAGTTCCATTGTGAAATCTTTCCTCCTCAGTGGTCAGGGAAAGCATTGTTTCTCCCTTTAGATGGAGAATCATCCGGTTTTTGTGGATGTTTCATGTCAAGTCCCTTGAGAGGATTAGGTAAAAGTGCTATTWCTTTGGACATGTAAAATTTACTTCATCTTCTTCACTAATTACTAAGGGTGAAGTGACTCTGACACAGGTGATTATGTTCTGGGGAACAGTCAGCCGTCCAAAACTTCTTTACATCTCCTTCTCTTCATTATCCATCTCCTGCTCTTTGTTGTCCAGAGCAAACTGCATTTTTTTCAGACAAGTCCAACTCAACATTTTTATCTAACTGGATCTTCACCCTTATTTTCTTACAGACCTGTCTGTGATGGTAACCCATGAAGTTTCCTGRGTTTGTCTCCAAGAAGTTTCTACCATCACTGTGGAAAATTGCTCCCCAAATGGAAAACAGAAGGGTATTTGTAGGTTTTCACTGCAGTGTGAACTTCYGCAGTTTCTTTGGTGAATGGCTGATACTGCTCCAGCAAATTTACACAATGACCTCATCATATGTAATGGTTCCTGTTTTCTTTGGGTTATGATAGACATCTCTTTGTCAAAAGGAGGCTGATTCTGCAAGTCCCCCAAAAATGCATCAGCAGAACTTCAGTGAAGGATTGAGCTGTTGATTATTTGCAGGGGTAGCGTTCTGCTTTCCCAGAATTTCTGCTCTCTAATGAAGGAAGACAGAATTTTTAGGTGACTATAACTATATGCTCAACATATTATTTAAGAGGTACYTATCAGCTGTAGGCAGCCTAATCAYTTCCTGRAGAATGAAATTACACCAACACCCYYCTGCCCTCCCTCCTCTTTTGGTGTGTCTCTGCATGGGAAATCTCCTAAATGGTCATTCCTTCTCATCTTCTATGAAATTTGTGTTCTGTTTGGCTCACCACTTACCTGTTTTCCCACCTGGTATTGATTTTGATGGAGAWGTTAAAATTAAATTACTGTTGCCTTTTTGTGAAAAATCTTTGCAATTTAAGTGCCYAAAACACCCTTAGATAATGAGTGGATGAATAAGAGACGATTATACTGTCTCATTCAGAAACATGCAGAAGTATTTCCATCAAATCCCACGTGGTAGCGAGCACAGCAAAGTTCATCTTCCCATGCATCAATCAACACATAAGAATTTGTGCCTCAGCTTTATGAGCCTTGACTTTCACCATGCTACCCAGAAGCTCCCTGATGTGAGAATCAATGCCAGGAGAAAGAACTCTTAATTTCACTTTCTAGTGTCAACCTCAATGCAGAAAATGGCAGGAGAGTGTCATCTGTTTTATGTGAGACTGGAGAGATGCTGCTCTGTCTTAGGGTTGCCAGGTTCAGGCAAGCTCAGCCRTTGACAGCTTAAGTTTTTATCCTTKCTGGAGTCTAGAACTCCTAAACCCTGCTTTGCTCAGCTAATGGTAGCCTCAGAGCTGGTAGACAGAGCTTGACAATATGTTTCAATCGTTTAAGGAGTTTGAAACACTCTTGGGGAAAAAAGAAAAGCCCTTGTGTTTAGGCTAAACCCATATTACAACCATTGTTACAAAGAATATGTTTCTTTACACTAACCTGGAATGTGCCCAGCCAAAAAAAAAATGCTGCTGTTTTTAATTTAAACAGAATAATTAATGTTTTAGCTTAAGGAATTAAAGAATATAGTAAATTATCTATCTTTGATCTATGTATTATACATCGAAAGGAGGTGGCAGCAAAAAAAATTAAGGTAGGGGGTGTTTAATCCTCTAATTCTAGTTTTTGTTTTCATTTATTCAAAGTGTCAACATTTCTGGTATCAGGAGGTGTAACTGTATAGTAACAAAGTGGAGGTAAATTAACATGTAAGCAAATGCTACTTGGTAGGAGTATTRTATCAAAGGTCTGATCTGTCTGAATTGCAACTGCTACATGTGTGGCATCCAGTATTGCAATAACTACTTATTTGCATTCTGTTTTGATGCACCTAGACATAGAAATACCTGAAAGATGCACATTTTTAATAAAAAACTGAAAAAAAAGGCATGTAATTATTACTATCTGGGCACTGGTTCTGTCTCAGGGAGGTTGATTCCTAGGGTAGATGGAGCCCAGCTATGTTTTTCTAGATGTGTATGGCAACCTGCTGATTGCTGTCTCACCAGAATAAACTCTAAACCTTTCCAGCTGTTCTTAATCTGGCCCCTTAACCTTTAAAAAAACCAGAGGCTTTCCATTCCTCAGAGCCAAACTTTGCTAACAATATCTAGGTTGTTTTCAGAGCAAGCTTCAAACATAAAAATGACTAATAAATCCATATTCCRTAATAGTTAGGCTGGAAAACTATTATTTAAAAACAGACTCAGTTTTTATGACCCATTCCTAATAAAAATCCCAAGTATGCTTCACTAATGCTACCATTTCAGATACTCAGATCCCGGATGATAGGCATGATATCCAGATAGATACACCAATAAATATGCAAAGGCTATAAATCTGTCTCAAATTAGTGATTTGTAGATGTGAGAGGGGGAAGAGGGCTGGGAAATTCTGCTTTCTAATCTGTTGGTTTCCTGACTCTAAATGCTCTGTCACTTCACAGCTGCTGATTGTATTTTTCTGCGGTTTGTATTCAGTGCTAAATACATTACTCCACGCTCTTCGAAGAAACCCGGGGCTTTGCACAGACTTTTAGTCTGCACCTGATTCCACTCGTGTGAAGACTAATTTTGGGTAGCCCAGGGTCAGGGCCAGAGTCAGCCCCCAGCATGCTGAGGAGCCCTCCGGCGTGAGAGCAAGGGAGGTTTTGAGGAAAGAAACAGCGGCTTTTGGATGGAGCCACAGCCTAGAAATTCATAACGCTTCAGAGGACCGTAGCCCGCTGGCTTCAGGATTCCAGTTCAGGCTTCCTATTAAAACAACAACACAACCCGTAGTAATCACTCATAAACATCTATCTTTCTGACTCTTTTACGGCCTCGTAATTGCCCCCACCCTGACAGGCGGATTTATGCCCAGGCCGCCAGCGCCCGGTGCCAGGGAGCTCCTCCGCCCCCGCGGCACCGCCGGCTCCTCCGGGGGAGCGCGGGGCAGGGCTGGGGCTGCCCTTCCCCGGGGGTCGCTCTGGCCACTTTGGAAGCATCAAAGSCCCCAGCTCCCCGCAGCCTCCTGCTTCGTTACCACCTCCAACATCCCGCTCCGCTGCTCGGGTTTGGCCGCTTGTTCGGTGCAGGCTCGCTTCTGGCCTTAAGGCAGCCTCCTCTATCGGCTGGGGGGAGCGCTTTTCCTGTGTAAAACTCAAGGACTATCCCAGCAGCGTTCAGGAGGGAAGTCCTCTCCTTTTCGCTCGTCCTTCTTTTCTCTTCCCAAGAGGACTTAGTTCAAGTCTCTCCCGCAGATCTCTCTCTCGCCCTCCCGGCTGGACTTCGCAACTTCGGGCGCGATTCCGCTGGTCTTTTATTCGCCTTTTTTTTCCCTGCGGTTTCCCCCTCCCCGCCTCCCCCCGTCATTTCTCATTCCCCGCAGTCCGCAGCCACCGGGAGGCTCTTTCCCCCTGCCCGCGGGGCACGGCCGGGACCCCCGCGGGCCGGGCACGGACCCTCCGGCGGGCAGCGCTGATCCGCCCCCGCCTCCCCCTCCCTGCCTCCGCCGGGAGCGCCTGGAAGGCAAAGGATGGCCTAGAAATTAAGCAGCATTTCTGAGGTGGTACATCTGCCTCTCCCCCCCGCCCGCCCCCTTCCCCATTTTCTTACACGGCTTAGGATTTCTCCGTGTCTCTCCCACTCCTGCACTTTTTAAAAAAAATTGTAATTGACCGCCGCCCCCCTCCGCCCCAAGCTAAGGTGGTCTCGGAGAGGCGAGGCGAGGCGCGGGGCTCTCGGGGAGGAGGCGAGCGCGGCGCTCCGCAGGAAATGCCGGCGCTGCTGCGGCGGGGACACCCCCGGCCCGCCGCCCCCCGGCCAGCGGGCGCTGACCGCCGGAGTCGCTCCCGGACCCTGCCCGGCCGGCAGTAAGCCGGGGGTGCGCAGGGAGCCCGCCGAGGCCATGGGCGGCGGAGGGGCGGCAGCCGCGAAGMGAGGGGCGCCCGCCCGGACCGCGCCGCGGGAGACCCGGCGCCGCCGGAAACTTTCCTCGGCGCTGTGCGCCGGCTCCCTCACGGTGCTGCTGGCCCTGGCGGTGAGGCTGGCGCGGGGGCAGCGCTGCCCGGGCCGGCGGGGCTGGGGCCGGGTGCTCCCCGGCGCGGTGCCCCTCTGCCTGGCCGGCGCCTTCCTGGGCACGGGGCGCTGCTCGGTGAGGGCCGGCGGGCGGCCGCGGGCGGCGGCGCTGCTGCTGCTGGTGCTGCTGCTGGCCGCCTGCTGCGGGGGGGAAGCGGTGGCGCAGACGGCGCTGGCGGCGGGGGAGGAGGAGGAGGAGGAAGAGGAGGAGGAGGATCACTTGCTCTCCCTCACCGCCACGGGGGTGGTGCTGAGCTGCCTGGCCGCCGTGACATGGCTGGTGCTGAAGCTGAGGCAGGGCGTCCTCATGCTCGCCGTGACTAGCGCGGCCAAGACCACGTCCCTCGTCGCCTTGGAGAGGGTCCCGGCGTCCTGGCGGCCCTACCTGGCCTACCTGCTGGGGCTGCTGGGCATCCTTCTGGCCGGCTACGCCGACCGGCTCTGGCCCCCGCGGCGGGCCGCCCCGCTGGCCGAGCCTCCCGCCGCCCCCCCGGCCGCGGACGAAGCCCCGGTGCTCAGGCGGCGGCGGCGGTCCAGCTCCATGATCTCCCCCGAGATGTCGGGCGGCGGCGGCAGCGGCAACAAGACCCACCGGAGGACCTCGCTGCCCTGCATCCCCCGGGAGCAGGTAGGGYAGGGGCTGGGGGGAGACGGTCCCAAACTTTGCCGGGGGTCCCGCCGGCGGCGGAGGCGCGGGGAGCTGCGCTCTCTCGCCGCTCCTCGCCGGAGGGGCCGCGCACGGTGCGGAGAGCCCCGGGCGGCCGCCTCGGGACGGGGCCGGGGGAAAGCGGGGCTCTGCGGACCTTCTGTGGGCGACGGAGAGAGGGCTCGGGGTGTGCTTTTCTCTTATAGCTGTGGCCGGTGCTGGCTTCTCCCAAGACTGGCAGAGGGAGGGCTGGGGTGCACGGTGCCCGCTTGGCTCTCGCAGCCGGTGGGAACCTGCCCYCAGCGCAGCCCTCGGGTTTCCCAGCATCGCTTACGAGCCTCGCTATTTCAAACCTGTAGTTTCCTAGAAAAGTAGCTTAGCCTCTTTTAACTTGCTCTAAACTTGAAAGGCGTGTGTGTGCGTGAGCCAAGCAGCTTGTCCTCGGTGGGAGAAGTCCCTTATCAGGGCGTCAGCCTGTCCGCTGAGGCTCCTCTTTGCACTTTGCCTCCCCAAGGCTGTTCCCGTGCGTGTAATCAATAGCTCCCGCTCCGCCGTGGCTGTGGGAACCGGTGCGAGGCACACGCGATTTATCTCAACTTTGTTTCCTTTGAGAGGCTGTGATTGGAATGGCTGASTGAAAACTTTATTACTAGTGATGCGTTCATTTAAAAGTACGCCTTAAAAAACTGGAGAAAGCAACAATCAAGCACCGGTATCTTTACTGCGCAGCTTTATAGAGTCCTGACATGGYTTAGCTCTGTGCTTGAACTATTTCTCAATGTTTTTGAGATTTAAAAAGTATCAGTCCATGTGTTACCGAGTGTGAGTGAGTGTCTYGAAAGTCGGGGCAACCCTTGCTGAGCAGTGGAAAGGGAAACCCGGGAGGAAAATAAGTATCAAATGGTGTTAATCTTTTTTTGTCGATTGGTATTGAAAATGCTTCTGTGCGCTGTCAAGTGAAGCGTGTTGTCATACACCAAAGGTTTTCTTTCAGGTTGCTTGCTGGATAAGCAGCTAAGTATTTCCAAGTACTGGCATCTAACTATATGGTGTGGGTGGCTAGTTTGTTTCTGTAAATGGTTTGATTACATCCCTTTGTGGTTGGTTGTGACATTTTGTACAATAGGGCCTGACAACATTATATACTTGAGACTTGTTTTACAACAAATGTACTTATTTATTTAACAGTTTTGTTTAGGTAAAATAAATATTTACTGCAGACAAATACAGTGTGAAAAAGTAGAAAACTGACCCAGTTCTGACTTTTGACAGGAACTGAGAGAGAGGGAAGGGTATAAAAGTAATTTGTAAATACAATAAAGCACAAAATTAAAATTGTTCATACTTACTTGGTGATGCTAGGCATTTCTGGTGGTTTATTACAATAATAATTTGTAATATTTTAAACATTGCCACTCACTCTCACACTTCCAATAATCATTCAGAGACAGGACTCAATGACCACACTTCTTTTCATATGAAGGGACTTCAAATCTCCTGCATATACCAGAATGTGAAACTGGTGATGGATAACAAGGTAGACTTCCTTTCCCTCCCCAATGGTGCCTTGCCTGGGGACAGTGGTCAGCTTTGCCCTGAGCAATTCCCACTTCCATGCAGTGGAGCTGGAAGTTAGCTGGCGACTGTTCAGTTCACCCACTGCAAGATTTTGGCAAATTCCTCTTTCTTTTGTTCTCCCTCACTGTTAATCAATAGTGAGATCTGGTATAGCTTGCGTCACTGTGTGATTAGAAATGGATGATTACTTTGGAGTTTAGGGACACTTTTTTAATTTTTTTTTTTCTTTTAGCCCAGTGTGGGTTTGTGTATGTGAAGTTCTCTCCCTTCTTATTTAAGAAAAATCTGTTTTCTTAAATAAATGCAAGTGTGATAGAAAAATGGAAAAGCCGAAACAAAGCTCTGTAAGGACCTTGAAGAAATGCTGGGAAAAGTGGGACTGTCTTACAGCAAACAAAGTTTATGTTTATAGCAAAAGTCAGCTCCTTGTAGACTTAAAGAAAGTATAGGTAAATGTTTTTCTTTAGGACAGTTTTTAAATATAACATGTTAAAAATAGAAATGAGGGCTTTAAAAGAAAACCGGGCCTTCTCTTGCCCTCTGTTTTTTAAAAAAAAAAACATCCCCTGAATGTTTCTGGTCTTGTTTGTACATCTGTGAGCTGCCAATAATTTTCATCAGGAAATAGATCCACTTTATTGCTTTGAAACACATACTTCAGTTTAGTGAATAACATTAGCAAAATTTTAGAGATCTTTCCCATCACCTCTTGTGTAACCTTTCCTATTGCTGAGCATGTAGTTGAGCTTTTATTTTTCCGGAGCTTGATTCCCTTCATATCTGACTATTAATATCAGGTTCTATAAAACTTGGAATTTCTGATTTTTCTTTTTTGGTCACACAAATCTCAATTATAATCTGAATTCTTCCCTGCTAAAATTCAAAGATGAGTCTATGAGTCATTGTGATGTAAAGGAGAGTACCAGGAATTGAAAACTGACAACATCATATTAACACATCTTGTGTCAGTTGCTTATCAGTTCCAAAAAGAATTTTAAAAGAAAAACTTCCATTTAAAAAGCCACCATCCAGAATTCAAACTGTAAGATGATGCAACCTTCTGTTGTTGCTAAAAGTGCTCTTTCCCCATTTTTGGTTTAWTTCTGTGCTTTTTGTGGTTGCTTTTGGTATATGTTCTCTCTCTTTCCCAACTTTGGCAAATTCTTTTTATTAAAAGCTTCCAGATTGGTGTGTGTGTGGATCTCATTGAGAAATGTGAGCCTGATCTTGCTCCCAGCGGAGTGTTGTCTCCCTGTGATTTCATCAAGGCTGGCTGAGGATGCTCAGCTCCTTGAGGGCTCGCTCACCCAGATTTGAAAGAGGATGCAGAGTGAAATTGTGAATGGATGGATGAGACAGGGAATGAATGAAGGAGTGAGTTGGTTTTTTTKKGGGKTTTTTTTTKGGTGTTGGTAAATTGGTAAATGCACRAATGCCAGCAGGAAGATGACTTTTGTCATTTTTTTCTCCAGGTTTTTGCAAACATTTTAGGTGTTCCTAAAAGTGTGGGTAGGGAAGGGAGCAGATATGTGTTCTATGTGTTGTTTTTCCCCATTGAAATATTCCAATGCCCATGTGCTCCAGGGCTTGTGCCTCTGATCAGTTTGCTAATCTCAACATACAGTAACCCAAGGGGATGATTTTGCCTTGGTGGGTAAAATACTGCACAGGAGATTGTAGCTGGACAAATTTAAACCATGTCGAAGACTCCTGATTTTGTTTTCCAGCTTTGCTTGTTGTTTGTTTTGTTTAGGGGAATGGGATGCTTTCAGCTGCCTTGGATTTTTACAAGTGTATGTTATTCGCAGCTGCTGAAAATAGTTTGATTTCCCTTTGCAGGTTTTTTTTTTCTTAGTCAGAAGCCCAGCACATATCAGGGTTTGAAGCACTTTCTGATCCCCCAAACGGTGGGTGACACAAYGCTCTGTGAGAGAAGGCACTTGTGAGGTGCTGAGAATTGCCCTGACCTGTGCAGGAGGCGGTATCAGGATGGAGATGTTTCTCCTGCAGCTCTGATGTATCTAGCTGCGCGGCCAGCAGCTCCGTGCCCAAACTCCCTTCTGTGTTCTCTGGCTCCTAAGGCAGACAGGTTTTCTTATATTTCTTTTTTGCTCTTTTCTTCCTTCTGGGCAGTTGGAGAAGGAGAAAGCTGTTTGCCTTCCCAAGGGACATCTGAGGGTCTGTCRCTTATTTTTCAGTTGGTTTGAGACTTGGGAGCTGTTTCATGTTGCTACGTCTTTCCCATCCCATTTCTCCATTTTGAAAGTTACTTTTTCAGATCAGTAACTTTGGTGTCAGACTTATCTATCTTCCTCCAGCAGCAGCAGTGGGGTTTTTGCTCAATTTGACTGTTTTTCATGGTGTTCTGGGTGGTAACTTTGCTTGTTCCCAGCCTGAAGCCTGGGAAAGTTGTGAGCTTGGGACCGTTGTTATCACCGCCTGTCTGTGGAGTTAAGAAGACAATACTGTAACAGTTCACATGGTCAAAGATATCTCTTCAGTGATAAGATCTAAGAAACAGTAGAGAAAAAGAAATATATTTGTTGTTTTGTTTTGGGTTTTTTTTTTTTTGCAAGGGAAAATTAAGGCTTTATCTTTTGTCATTGTTTGGTAGCAAGAGGTTTGTTAGTGCCAGGAATATGTTGCTTCTTCCCCTTTGCTGGTTCTGCTCATTCTGCCTTAAAATATAGACAAATGTAGCCTTATATTATAACCARTTTTTAATACTATGGATCCTGCCCTCTGGCCTGAAAATGGGAGACATCAGGGTGCAACATAGAGAAATTTAAAATTTTAGTGGAGAGAAGACATTAGATACTGAAGTTTGTCTATGTCAGAGACACAGATCTCCTATTAGACGTGATGTTTTATATACTGTATACCTCCTACTAATAAGGTTTATTGAACTGTAATTACTCTGATAAGATTTACTGGCTTTGCCATTTAGGTCACTGAAAACCAAGGAATACTGAGGAGTTACGTCATCTGGTGACTTGCTGAAACACAACTGTGTGAAATATTTAAGTAAGGCTCCAGGAAAAATCACCCAGAGATTCCAGACGTAATGCTTTATTTTCTTTTGCATGGCTTCATTTACGCAAACCTGCACTACTTAGGTTTTTTCCTTTTTTCTTTCAGCCTYGCAGAAATGGTAAAACTGCTGCTGAGACTCTGATGAAGGGTTTAGAATCTATTTTTGTTAATCGGTTAAATCCAGAAATGTATATTATGATACATTAGCAAAAAAAGTAAAGTACAGTAGTGACTTTCTGCTCTTTCTGCCTGAAGTGTGAAAATGCAAAGCTGGGGAACTGAAAGAAATCCTGTGTACTCTGGGTTGTCATGTTAATTAAATAAACAGCCAGAACAGTGACCCTGTGTATGAAATGTGTTTTGAGAAGCTT